GTATGTATGTACGGTATGTATGTATGTATGTATGTATGTATGTATGTATGTATGTATGTATGTATGTATGTATGTATGTATGTATGTATGTATGTACGTGTGTGTGTGTGTGTGTTTGTGTGTATGTGTGTGTATACATATATATGGAATAGAACAGCTGTGAGCTTTTTATTGCGTTTTAACAAAGAGAGGAGGCACCCTACAATCTGCCATGATCCGAGAGTTCCTGCGATCGGAGAGCTTGGGCAAAGTTTTGGCCAGACTGGACCCGGCACGATGCCACAGGGCGGAGCAGGAATATTGGCGGCTGATTGAAGAAATCAACATTACAGACTTGAAATACAGCCACAACAACATTTCCAGAAAGTTCCTGCATGGAGATCAGGAGGGCCTGCCTGTCGAGAGTTTGGCCCACGACCTGTTCGCAGGAAGATTGCAGCCAACCGACGTTGCAGCACTGGTGGGTGTCAGATGGCAGGGCAAAATCTTCGTGATTTGCGGCAATCGGCGCTGTAAGGCAATGAAGCTCTTTGCTGAGTGGTCCGCCTCCTGGGGCCGACAGCCGAAGGCACGCGTCATAGTGCACGATTTCCCCGGCTTGTCGGGCATAGAAGACCCGGATGTCCGCTGGGCATTCATGCTCAAAGCTACTGAGGCCATGTCCACCCTCACGGGCGGAGAGTCAGTTCAAGTGGGGCGAAGATGCAGACATCGTTAATGAAGGCTTGTCCCGGCAGTGCACGCTCTCGCCTGCGAAAAAGCGCGCTCTCAAGCCGCCGCGTAGTAGGGAGGTCTGAGTAGTTAGTGTGAGACGAAGCCAACAAGAAAGCCGAAGACACCTACTGGTATAGAACCTTTGTATCAAAGCCGTATAGAACCTCTCAAGAAGCCCGTAACCCCGATATTAATTGCAGCGATTGCTGCTGGAACTCGTTTCGATGTTCTTGTGGGATTTGGAGGCGAAGCCTTCAAATGTCAGAGTCTCCATCGTCACTTATGCGTGTTAGGGGTTTCGGATTTAGGATTCCTAAAGGGTGTTCCATTACGGGTTCTATAAGGTGCCCACAAGAGATCTAACGGAGGGGCTTGGTGTTTGCACAAGAACCCCACCGGCGTGCAGCCGCTCAAAGATTCTGATTCGGCTTCATTTAACATCCAGAGGCAAAGCCCTAAGCCCTCATGAATCCTAAAGCCTGAACCCTGCCTAAATCCTAAACCCTATACCTATAGTCTCCGTCGTAGTTCCGTTTTTGGTTCAACCAGTTAATTCTATATATAGGATCCGATAAGGTACACCCAAAAGGAACTACAATGGAGATTATAGGTAAACCCTATAACCCCTAAACCCTCAGTTCGTCGTCGTTTCTGGCTCAACCTCTCAGCTGCACGGACCCTCCAGCGCACCTGCCGTGCTTCGCGACCCTCCACGGGAAAGCTACAGGCCCCATAAGCCCGATACTATAGGGGCCTTAATATTTGCCTACTTTATTTTTTTGGGGGCCCCTCAGTAGAATGATGGTATCATATTCTCCAAAACCCTTTGCTAATTATTAAGGCCCCTATATGAATCGAAAGTTTAGGAATCGGGGGCTTCGGGTTTCGGAGATTAGGGTTTAGGGATTGGGTGCTTAGATGGGCTTAGGGTTTAGGGATTGGGGGGCTTAGGGTTTTAGGGAGCAGGGGCTGAGGTTTTCGGGTACAGGGGCTTCGGGTTTGGGAAAGGGGTTGAGGGCTTTGGGACCCTAAACCCTAAACCCTAAATCCTAAACCCTAAACCCTAAACCCTAAAAGGGTTTAGGAGCTTCAGAGTTCCAGGGCGTTCGCTAGTGTCTTTGTATCGAAGTATGCGTGGTGCAGGGGCTTGGAATCAGGGAATTGCAGGTGTTAATGAGGTTCTTTTCTGCAATGGGACGCATACATACAAGTTAAGGGTTTAGGATTTGGGGTTTTGTGTACTTAGGTTTGATGTTCGGGTTTCGGTGTTCAGAACTTGAGGTTTAGGGTTTGAGGTCTGGGGGATTCGAGGTTTATCTTAGAGGAGGATTGTCATCACCTTGCAAACCGTCTGCTTCACAGCCGGCGCACGAGCAAGGGAGCCAGGAAAAGCAAGATTTTCCTAGATATTTCCTGCATTCAAGAAACCATGCTGCGAGATATTTCCTGCATTCAGCCACCAAGCTGCTAGATATTTCCTTCATTCAGGAACCAGGCAACTAACCTTGTCCTTCACTCCAAAACCAACCTGCTGCACTTGGGAACTGCACGTTCCGCTTCTGTGGACATGATTGTCTGAGAGTTTTCGACTAGCGTTGTCTAGCATTATCTAGCATTTTCTAGCATCCCTGGTCCTCCGGGACCTGGCCGGAATCTAGCATTTGCTAGCATTATCTAGCATTGTCTAGCATTTTCTAGCATCATCGCAATGCAGTGGCCGGAATCTATAGCATTTTCTAGCATCCTGGTCCTCCGGGACCTGGCCGGAATCTAGCATTTTCTAGCATCTTGTCTAGCATCATCCGGGGAGGGTTCAAGGTTTGAATTGAGGATCGGGGGTCGAGGATTTGGAATTGAGGCTTTAGGGTTGAGCCGGTAGTAATACCCCAAACCCTAAACACTAAACCCCTAAACCCTGCCCGTCAATCCCGACCAATCCGCAGGCGCGATGGTGGTTGCTCCGTCCTTAGCTTCGGTTTACCCGTTAAACATCCCAGTCACAGGGTCTTCCTTTGCGGGCTCATTTCAGGGAACTACGGGGATTTGACGACGGGGTTTAGACTTTGGGGTCCGGCATCAGGGTTTAGGGCACGAGACTTACGGCTTAATTGAGCCTCAACCCCTCAACCACAAAATTAATTTACGGTTTGAGGCGGGGTTCAGAATTGTGATCCTTCTGGTGGCTTTGAAAAAGTGACGGACACTTGTTTTGGATACGCCAAACATACATTCTCAAGCTCAATGAGGCCACGGCTTGTCACTCCGATTTTGTGCATCGAAGCCTCAATGCGCGTCGTTCTTCTGTGGATCCCTATATGACAGTGGTCCCAGCAGATTCAGGAGCATGCAAGCACATGCTGTACAGGCTCCCCAATAGAACATTCCAGACGGGCTATCATGTTACACTTATTACGCCAATTGCAGACACTGCTGGACGTCATTCCAAGGTTAAATGCTGCAGTAAGAAAATTGTGAAGCAACATGTTTCTTAGGTAGCAAATCAGTTTATTGGCTTCGGGCGACACTATGAACACAGTTGCTGCGGTTCGCATTTTCGGGTCTAACGACGGTCCCCCTATACAACCCTAAAGAAACCCAACCGAGGCGATGAAAGCCGGGGCATCTCAGGTGACCCCTGAGAAGCGACCGATGCGCTCCGTCACAGAGCGGCTGGCCCAGCCAGGGGTAGGTCCCTCTAGGGCCAAAACGGGTTTAGGGTTTCGGGGTTTAGGGTTTAGGGTTTAAAGGTTTACGGTTNNAGGGTTTGTGGTTTACTGTTTAGGGAAAGGATTCGGGATTTGATTTAAGGTTCAGCGTTTGGGGTTGAGGCGCTGTTGCGACTTGAGGGGGGCCATGGGTTCAGTGTAATTGCGCTGCACCATTGGTAATAGTATCCCCTTATAGTCCTTACATAAGTACATCATATACAACACAACCCGTTCTAGTTATTGAGGCCCACATATTAACAGGATAAATGAGATCAAGCGCCATTATCTACGGTATAAGGTGTCATGGATATGAGGAGTACCCTAAACCCTAAACC